AACATTCGATAAAATATAAATCGTCCAAACTGAACCTATTTAATGAAAGTCATCACCTATTATAAGTTTTCATCCACAAGTAATTTCAAACTACATATTCTTCCAATTAAAAATCCACTTGTAATCTATATAATCATCCAAGTCACATCCATCTAGCATAATAATTCAAAACATAACAATTAGTTGTTATTATGTTTTAAATTGTTAACCATGCGCATCCATCAAAAAATGTACACACTAGTAGTCTATCCAAATATTTTCCATACACATTCATCCAAAAAATATAATTACTAGTCTTTCCAAAAATATAATTTCTAGTCCACCCAAATCTTTTCCATACACATCTATCCAAAAATATATATTCCTTCCAAAATGCTTATAGTGCCAATCAGTCATGTACAATTTAGCTTTGTGCACGAGATAATCCATTTGTACCAAAGAAAATGAGAAATAATGTTAGGTAAATTTTTGTTGAAAATATTTGCACATCACTTTATTGTAAAATTGGACAAAAAATGCAAATTCTACATGAAAAGTAAAGGAAACATTAACAAATTAAATGACTATCAATACCATTTTGTAAATAGAACACCATTCATATGTATATATCAATTCTAACTATATTCCACAATATGCCAATATTGACCTATGTTTCAACAATGGAAACTAAGTTAAAATAGTCTTTCTACTTCTGGATAGTCTATATGCTTTGGTTGAACTTTTACTTGGAGGAGAGTAAGTGTGAGAGCAGAGTGGAAGATACGAGGTTGGGATTATCAACACAAGCTCCAGCAAAACAACAAACCCATCTCTCTATCAGAAGCATATTACCAAACTAATGTATGTGTTTTTGTCTGAATAGTTTATATGTTTTTGTCTATATGCTACCATGACTAATGTATGTGTTTTTGTGAGAGCATAGTGGAATATACTTCTGAATAGTCTATATTTTTTTTGTCTCTAGCCATCTCTACAACTACTGTTTTTCACTTTGGGCTACTGCTTGAAGGGGTGCAAACATGCCTTTGTAGCTTGGAAAGAGGGCATATAATAAAACTTATGCTTTAATATGCAGATGTAGAATCTAAAAATCAATTCTCTCAATAAAAGGTTTTTTAATTAGTCACACACTGAAGTGCACATTATTCAAAACTTATGTAGTTAAGAAGTTTACAATTCCATACGAGACTAATGTATGTGTGCGTTCTGTGTACATAGCATTATTCTATTTTTGTTCATGTCAATTTGGTAAAGGAAGAAAAAATTATGATGCTACTGTTTCTTATGTTGTTAAATCACAAACAGAATGACAAGACCATGTATCTTTTAATTAGTTTACACATTGAAACAATACAATATTCTGGAGCATCTCCATACTAAAACAAAACCAAATCAACTGGCTGCACCATAACAAGGCCCATCCTTAAATATCAATGTCACAAGTTGAAAAAATCAATGATGGACTGCAACAAGTACACCTATTCAATCCCATTCGGGTAATAACCTACAGGTTCAGTATGTAGAGAAAATTTAATTTATTTTTTGCGGAATGCATGCGCCTTGGTAGCATATAAGTTGTTGTGCATATGTTTAGGAACTTGGATTTGTTAAATAAAAATAAAAGGAAACTGAAAGTGATGATGACAGAAACAAAAGAGAAATGAAATGAAATGCCTAAATTCCTTGGTTTTGTTTTGTTGAGGGGTAGGAATTCAAACCACTTAAAAATTTTCTACATTAAAAAGGCAACAACACATTTGACAGATTTATTGTTGGGGCTTCGCCAATTACACCACATGTCCGACCGATTTATTGTTGGAGATGTGGACTTCTAATGCAAGTTGAATTCAAATATGTAATAATGATTTCTAATATATGGAAATGAACAAGAGCCTTCAATTTCAATAACAAGCCCCCATGCACAGAAGCAAATAAAAGCTAAGGTAAGGTAACCAAAGTAGAATATGACATGAAAACTCACCTTATAATATGATATATTCTCTTTGGAATCTAATACTAAATAGGGTAACTTTACCTCTTGCTAGCCACATATAGCAAAAATATTCCAAGTAATATGAAAGTAACTTGGCAATATCATAAATGATATGAATAGTAGGCATGGAAGCTCAATAAATTTTGAAGCCAGGAGGCTGCAAGGCCTAAGACAGAGTAGTGACAAGTAGAGAGGAATAAAACTTGAAAGATACAAAAACAATTCTTAAAAACAAAATAAAAAAGTTCTTATGCTGGCTATCCCAACTTACTTCACAACATAGCACCATTCAACGGATAGAATTTAGAACCTAATGACATCACATACTACATTCAGAACTTAATTGTTTAATAGCACCAAATGATGCAACACAGAATTTAGAGGCATGGCCAATTAAGGTTACACATTTCCAATGGTCAAAAGTTGGATTTAAAAGTAAACACGGATGGCGCTTCAATTGGTAATCCAAGACTAGCTCTTTGATTAGAAATATTGTCAGTTTCTGGGTGGTGGGATTCATTCAGAAAATTGTGTGGGCTTATGCTTTAACGGCGGGTTATGTGTAGTATGACAAGGTCTACTTTTCGCTTGTCAAAGAGGATGCAGGGAGATTATCTTGGAGATGGATTTCCAAGATGCAGTGAGTTTGTTGCAAGGTCCAAATTCTTTACATCCTAATTTGAATTTAGTGCTACAGATGAGGGAATTTGTGAAGGAATGAGACTGTAAAATCCAGCATATTTTCCTAGAGAAGCAAAAGAGTGTGCAAATCAGTTAGCACATGAGGCACTACAAGGAGGTACTCACCGATATGTCTGCTAGTTTTTCTTCTTTTTTCTTTTTTTTTTTTGTTTTGGCTAGAGGGTGGGAGTTTGTTTTCTCCCTTGGCTTTTTTGTTTTTGATTTCGGGTGTATGCGTTTGATTTGTTTGTAGCTGTTGCTTTTGTGTTAATGCCAAATCTTTCACCAAAAACATATATATATAAATATATATATATGGTTTAGTTTTTTGTTTTCTGAAACTTGTATAAATTATATAAAAGAAATTCTTTGATCCAAAGACAAGCAAGAGTGTTTTTGGCATTACTGTTAAGAATAGCTCTAGGCAACACACCTACACACACACATATATATGTGATGTGAGGCACATGCTTATTTTCTCATGTTTATACATTGAAAGCACATAAGAGTATATTTTAATTTAAGTTTTTACTTGGTTCACAATTTTATTATCTTATTTTACATTAATTATGACATTGGTAACAATATAATATATTAATAATCCAAATTCCAGTCGCAAATTGACCCAAGGGTAAAGCTAACATTTCAACATCTACAATCAATTTTTGCAGTATTTTTAGTAAAACAATCAAACTGAAAATCAATTCCCTCAGTAAAAGGTTTTTTCATTAGTCACACACTGAAGTGCACATTATTCAAAACTTATGTAGTTAAGAAGTTTACAATTCCATACGAGACTAATGTATGTGTGTGTTCTGTGTACATAGCATTATTCTATTTTTGTTCATGTCAATTTGGTAAAGGAAGAAAAAATTATGATGGTACTGTTTCTTATGTTGTTAAATCACAAACAGAATAAGAAGACCATGTATCTTATAATTAGTTTACACATTGAAACAATACAATATTCTGGAGCATCTCCATACTAAAATAAAACCAGATCAACTGGCTGCACCATAACAGGGCCCATCCTTAAATATCAATGTCACAAGTTGAAAAAATCAATGATGGACTGCAACAAGTACACCTATTCAATCCCATTCGGGTAATAACCTACAGGTTCAGTATGTAGAGAAAATTTAATTTATTTTTTGCGGAATGCCTGCGCCTTCGTAGCATATAAGTTGTTGTGCATAGGTTTAGGAACTTGGATTTGTTAAATAAAAATAAAAGGAAACTGAAAGTGATGATGACAGAAACAAAAGAGAAATGAAATGAAATATCTAAATTCCTTGGTTTTGTTTTGTTGAGGGGTAGGAATTCAAACCACTTAAAAATTTTCTACATTTAAAAGGCAACAACACATTTGACAGATTTATTGTTGGGGCTTCGCCAATTACACCACATGTCCGACCGATTTATTGTTGGAGATGTGGACTTCTAATGCAAGTTGAATTCAAATATATAATAATGATTTCTAATATATGGAAATGAACAAGAGCCTTCAATTTCAATAACAAACCCCCGTCACAGAAGCAAATAAAAGCTAAGGTAAGGTAACCAAAGTAGAATATGATATATGCACATGAAAACTCACCTTATAATATGATATATTCTCTTTGGAATCTAATACTAAATAGGGTAACTTTACCTCTTGCTAGCCACATATAGCAGAAATATTCCAAGTAATATGAAAGTAACTTGGCAATATCATAAATGATATAAATAGTAGGCTTGGAAGCTCAATAAATTTTGAAGCCAAAAGGCTGCTAGGCCTGAGACAGAGTAGTGACAAGTAGAGAGGAATAACACTTGAAAGATACAAAAACAATTCTTAAAAACAAAATAAAAAAGTTCTTATGCTGGCTATCCCAACTTACTTCACAACATAGCACCATTCAACGGATAGAAATTAGAACCTAATGACATCACAAACTACATTCAGAACTTAACTGTTTAATAGCACCAAATGATGCAACACAAAATTTAGAGGCATGGCCAATTAAGGTTACACATTTCCAATGGTCAAAAGTTGGATTTAAAAGTAAACACGGATGGCGCTTCAATTGGTAATCCAAGACTAGCGGATGTAGGGGCTTTGATTAGAAATATTGTTGGTTTCTGGGTGGTGGGATTCATTCAGAAAATTGTGTGGGCTTATGCTTTAACGACGGGTTATGTGTAGTATGGCAAGGTCTACTTTTCGCTTTCAAAGAGGATGCAGGGAGATTATCTTGGAGATGGATTTCCAAGATGCAGTGAGTTTGTTGCAAGGTCCAAATTCTTTACATCCTAATTTGAATTTAGTGCTACAGATGAGGGAATTTGTGAAGGAAAGAGACTGTAAAATCCAGCATATTTTCCTAGAGAAGCAAAAGAGTGTGCAAATCAGTTAGCACATGAGGCACTACAAGGAGGTACTCACCGATATGTCTGCTAGTTTTTCTTCTTTTTTCTTTTTTTTTCCCCCTTGGCTTTGGCCACCATTATATACCAACACTAGCCCAGTCTGTATCTGTGTGTGTCAAATTGGTATGATAGAGTTTTGTGGGATATATATGTGGGATCTACAAACAAAAACAACAAGCAATCACAAGCTCTGAAAACTCTCTAGTCACATACACGTTCAGTTAATAAGCAACGTTAAAAGATTAAGTATTACAAAACACCAAAGAATGTGCCTTTTGGGAGGAGAAAAAACAAAAAAACAAAAACAAAAACAAAATTAACGAACAAGATTCCTATTCACAAAGAAAAATTTAACAAATATTTTTTCAAACATATGAACAGAGCAGACATATATTTAAAAAAATGCTCTTTTAAAGTAAATAAAGGATCATAGCAACTTTGAATTTAGACTGGCAAAACATGTAATAGATCATCAAGAAGGTATCTGACAGTGGACCATCAATTATCCCAAAGTATAAGTACAAACTAAAAAACAGCTTGAAGCCTTATTCTATGCGAACACTGATTTTAGAACCCATGTACTGAGGTTCTTGCTAGCATTCTTACTAGTAATTTAGGTTTAAGGACATACCTCCACTACAGAAGTTCGTTTTGCCTCCAAAGTTAAGCAATGAACAAGAGCATTCCATTTTCTGGAACAGTTATCAGGGACACAAAGCTGCCTATAATACTGTTGCATCTGATGGAGAGGAGCTAAGAAAACATGAATGCCATTAGTTTGACAATCCAAAAAACAAAAAAACAAGCATAGAATTACTTGAAACATAAATAACAAGTTAAAAAAAACATTAATGCTGCTACTGCTACTCACATTAATTTTGAAAGGGAGATGAGCGTTAATTTTGACATAAAATGATAATTTAAAAAAATAAAATAATTACTCGAAACATTAATTTGGTTGTTATGAACAAATCAAACATTTCACATTTACATACCATCTTGGAGCATTGTTAGCATCAGTCCTTAGGCTTCTTTAGTACACTTTTTTCTCCTTTTTACATGTCCTTAGGCTTCTTTAGTACACTTTTGCCGAAATATGAGATCATTAAGCATTTTCTAAATCAATTAACAATATATAACCCACAGAAGACACACAAGAAGTTTTGGTTCTCTCAAATAATGCTCTATTTGTTGAAATATTTCTTTCTGTTTCATATTCCAATTTTGTAATATTCTCATTTTCATTTCAATGATGTTTCTGCTAACTTTTTCAATGGAAACTATAAAGAAAATGGAATAATAATTATCAAAGCTCTACTAGAAATGTAAATCAAGGAAAGCCCTTTCAAGTCGATCAGCATATTATATATGTAATAAAGACCACTAGTTCCGGCCAAGAAAATGCATCATAAACTAACCTAATTGGATGATGACTCTAAAATATCTCATTTGTCAATTTCCTTTTCAGAATAGTTGCAATTACTAAAATGACCAATAGCTCTTAAGATCTCCTAGGTTCCTTTTATCAAATGTTGGAAGACATGAGAGTAATTATGTGATTTCAGAATTTGATTTTCTAAAATCATAAGGGCCTTGAGGATAGCAAAATAGCATCCAATCTCTCCCTGGATATGCTTAAACTGTTGTCAGTGCAATAAGGTAACTAGGCTTGCATTTTGATTAGGATCATGTGATCACGAATTGTAGCATATATGTTTTTATAATTTGGTCAAAATTTGATTTATGTGTATCCGTACCTTTTAGCTTGTGGAAGATCCATTTTGCCTTCTCTTCAACAGTATTTGAGAAGCTCTGTAAGTATAAGCAAAGTTCAGTAAAAAGAATGTTGGATCACTAATTGCAAGTAAAAAATAAAACTGAAAAGGAGAAGAAGAAATCAATGTAAGATTGCCCAATTCATGTACAATTATTTAGAAAGTGAGCAAAAGTACTCCTTTATCCAAATGAGACTACCTACCTTTTGCATATGCTCAACATTATTTATCCATCACCATAAGCTAACACGTACGAGATTAAGCCCTCTTGGGGTCAACCTAAGAGATCTATCATTGATAGCTGAGCAAAGGCATCTCCAATCTCTAGATGGTATAACTTCAGATTCTTTCTCATTCATAAGATAATTTCCAAGTAAATAGTTTCCTAATGTGTACAGGACACAAAACTTGCCTCTTGATTTAATTTGTTAATTCAGCAATGCAAAATCAAATGACCTGAAACTTGAGAGCATATGATATCTTCACCAGCAACATTTGGTTTTTTATTTGATTGGCTCAATTCGGTCTTCAATTTTCAGTTTATGACACTCTTCATGTTCAAATTGGTTTCTAATATTAATGCATACCTCCAAAACCCTTATATTCTCAAAAACCCATTAGACCCTTTTCTTTCTTTCTTTTTTCTTTTTTGAATAATATTTACTTATCTTGCATAAGAAGTTAACAAATGACCTGAAACTTGGAGCATTGGACATCATAACTTTCACCATTTTGTTTTTTATTTAATTGGCTCATTCTGGTCTTTAATTTTCAATTTATGTCATTCTTTATGTTCAATTTACTCTAGCTTGGCAGCAAAGTCACTTAGGCTAGGTTGCATTTGAGAAGATGATATTGTAGCCAAAAAGTCACTAAAAATGCCAAAGAGCAACAATAAAAAAAAAAAAAAAAAGAGCCATGATTCCTTCCCTTCTCTCCATTTTTTCCCAAACTCATTTTATACTTGCACTACATATTTTAGTGAAAAGCCACTACAAAATCACTACAAAACAAGCCCTTAACTACAACAAAAGAGGTAGCTTACCTAGGAAAACAGCAAAACAGAGGATGGCTTTGTTAACATCAGTTTTGTGCTCCATAACATTTAGAGCCCTCATGGCAACAGAATCTAACCTCATGTAGCTGTGAAGATTGTACTGTCAAATACTACAACTTCCACAATTGCTCTCATCAGCAAGTAGTTGTACATAAGATAGCAAAGAACCCAAAGCCCCAAGTGTAAATTCAAACCCAGAAACATCCCTTAAGTGGTTCGGGGGCTGTCTCATTTACATACCATCTGCTCCCACAACTTCTTCATACAGTTTAAAATCCAAGTTCCATTTGAAGATAAAGGTAACAATGTCAACAGTTAATAGATGCTAGCATACAGTCAAATTCCAAACTATTTAGACTCATATTGTCAAAATCTAGATTATTGAACTCTATAGTGGCTGAATGTTACACAGTTACAATATGCAAAACTGAGGGCTCTAAATGTTAGCATCAACTTTGTCACACATTTTCAGAGCAAACCCAACTTCATACAAATACAAGGCAATTAAATCAAAATGTTTAATCTCAGATCATGCTTTTTATACCACATTTTAAATAAATACTTGGTGCTTTCAATTGTTTTGGAAAGGAAGGTTTGAGGAGGGGTTTCAAGAATGGATTTCGCAGATATGGAGGTAAAGACGGGAAGAGTGAAGGAAATCATTTTCCCACTATATGAATGGCGGTGGGTGGGTTGATTTAGGGGTAGGTTTGCATGAAGAAGGTATGCGGATGAATGAAGAAAAAAACCCTAGAGGCCGAAATTAGGGGAACAAAGATAGAGATATAGAGATATATATATATATATATATATAGAGAGAGAGAGAGAGAGAAACCAAGAGGACAGACCTTGGCTAGTGCCCCAATGATGGATCGTGACTACGAGATAAGATGATATAGGCTGTTGGTTTGCGATGGTCCTCATGTGTGATGGGCGTCGACACCGATGGTGCTCCTGTACCAACGGGGATGGAGACAAAAGCAAGAGAGAGAGAGAGAGAGAGAGAGAGAATCGGAGCTGGGCAGATGTGAGTGAGAGAATCAGAGGAGGGCAGATGTGAGAGACAGAGAGAGTCGCAGACTGAGAGAGTCACAGAGTAAGAGAGAGATGAACATGTTTTTAAGCCCTAAGTCACAGAGTGAGGTGAGATGGGGTGAGGTTTGGTAGTGAAGGAGAATCTATATGAGAGAGAGAACAATCTGATTAGTTTAAACAGAGAACAAGCGGGGGCAATTAAATGGTTTCCCTCTAAAATTTTCACACCTTTGGTGACAAAATTGATTTTTGGTCGGCAAATGTTATTATCTGTGACCAAAATATTTCAGTCGCTAAACATTTTTTCATTCCCACTTTTTTTTTTTGTCTTCCCTCTTCGACTTTTGCCGACCAAATTTCAATTTGATCGCAGAAAATTATATTTTGGTAACTAAAAAAATATTAGTCAGCAAAACTCCAAACCTTTATCGGGCACTACTATATAAATTAAGTATAAGATGAAGATCACAAAAGCAAAGTTCAGTAAGGCAGCTTCAAGAATCTTTATCCGGTGCTACCAGTATAAATTAAGTATAAGATGAAACTATAAGATAAAATTTAAGTGTTATGAATTTCAGGCTTTCATAACCCAAAAAAAGAAAAATAAGAAATTACATGTTCCTTGAATCATTTTATAGAAAGAGAGGGATATTTATACCTCAAATTGTTTTTAGGGAGGGTTGAAGATGCTCTAGAAAATGGGGATGGTGAAGGCCCTGGTGGGTGAGACATTGTAGAACAAAATTACTTTAGTCAAAGAGAAAACAAAGACAGAGAGAGTCACAGAGTGAGAGAGACAGATATTAGGGGAAGAGAGGCAGATAGAGGGACAGAGAGAAGGCAAAATAGAGAGGACATACTGGGGTAATGCTCCAATAGTGGATCGACGGTGGTGCTCGATGGCAATGATGCTCCTTACCCGACGGCGATGGAAACAAAGCGACAAAGATTAAATATCAAGATGAGGGCAATCGGCGTGAGAGAGAGAGAGAGTAATGGAATGAGAGAGACAGAGGTGCGAGAGAATCAGAAAAGGGCAGATGCGAAAGAGAGAGAGAGTCACAGAGTGAGAGAGTGTGAGAGAGAGAGAGAGAGAGAGAGAGAGAGAGAGAGAGACGTGTTTAAGCCCTAACTCATTTTAGTGTGTTTGAAATCCCTCCAGATTGAGCAGTATGTGTTCCCCCCAAAAAAAAAAATTAAAAAAATAAAAAATTGAGTTTTATTGCCGACTAAATGTGTTTTAGTCACCAAAAATGTATATTTGCCGACCAAATGAGGTAGTCACCAAAGATTAAAAATAAAATTATACTACATATTTGGCAACTAAATTTCTTTTAGTCGACAAAAGTTGGTATATGACGACTAAAATTTATTTAGTCGCTGAAAATAAATTTTTGGCGACTAAACTTTTAGTCACCAAAAATAAAAGTAAATTTTTGTTTTCCATTCAGCGACTAAATAAATTTAGTAGCCAAAAGTAACTATACAACGACTAAAATATTCATTAGTCGCTGAAAATAAATTTTTGGCGACCAAACTTTTGGTCACCAAAGATAAAAATAAATTTTTATTTTTCATTTAGCGACTATATTATTTTAGTTGCCAAAACAATCTATACAGCGACTAAAATATTTTTTAGTCGCTGAAATTAAATTTTTGCCGACCAAACTTTTGGTCACCAAAGATAAAAAGTAAATTTTTATTTTTCATTCAGCGACTAAATTATTTTAGTTGCCAAAACTATCTATACAGCGACTAAAATATTTTTTAGTCACTGAAATTAAATTTTTGCTGATCAAACTTTTGTGCTCCATAACATTTAGAGCCCTCATGGCAACAGAATCTAACCTCACTTTTTTCTCTTTTTTTTTGTCTTCCCTCTTCGACTTTTGCCGACCTAATTTCAATTTGATCGCAGAAAATTATATTTTGGCAACTAAAAAAATATTAGTTAGTAAAACTCCAAACCTTTATCGGGCGCTACTAGTATAAATTAAGTATAAGATGAAGATCACATAAGCAACGTTCAGTAAGGCAGCTTGAAGAATATTTATCCGGCGTTACCAATATAAATTAGTATAAGATGAAACTATAAGATACAATTTAAGTGTTACGAATTTCAGGCTTTCACAACCCAAAAAAAGAAAAACAATAAATTACATGTTCCTTGGATCATTTTATAGAAAGAGAGGGATATTTATACCTCAAATTGTTTTTAGGGAGAGTTGAAGATGCTCTAGAAAATGGGGAAGGTGAAGGCCCTAGTGGGTGAGACAATGTAGAACAAAATTACTTTAGTCAAAGAGAAAACAAAGACAGAGAGAGTCACAGAGTGAGAGAGACAGATATTAGGGGAAGAGAGGCAGAGAGAGGGACAGAGAGAAGGCAAAATAGTGAGGACATACTGGGGTAATGCTCCAATAGTGGATCGACGGTGGTGCTCGATGGCAATGATGCTCCTTACCCGACGGCGATGGAAACAAAGCGACAGAGATTAAATATCAAGAGGAGGGCAATCGGCGTGAGAGAGAGAGAGTAATGGAATGAGAGAGACAGAGGTGTGAGAGAATCAGAAGAGGGCAGATGCGAAAGAGAGAGAGCGTCACAAAGTGAGAGAGAGTGAGAGAGAGAGAGACGTGTTTAAGCCCTAACTCATTTTAGTGTGTTTGAAATCACTCTAGATTGGGCGGTATGTGTTCCCACAAAAAAAAAAATTGAGTTTTATTGCCGACTAAATGTGTTTTAGTCACCAAAAATGTATATTTGCCGACCAAATGAGGTAGTCACCAAAGATTACAAATAAAATTATACTACATATTGGGCAACTAAATTTCTTTTAGTCGACAAAAGTTGGTATATGACGACTAAAATTTATTTAGTCGCTGAAAATAAATTTTTGGCGACCAAACTTTTAGTCACCAAATATAAAAGTAAATTTTTGTTTCCCATTCAGCGACTAAATAAATTTAGTAGCCAAAAGTAACTATACAACGACTAAAATATTCATTAGTCGCTGAAAATAAATTTTTGGATACCAAACTTTTGGTCACCAAAGATAAAAAGTAAATTTTTATGTTTCATTTAGCGACTATATTATTTTAGTTGCCAAAACTATCTATACAGCGACTAAAATATTTTTTAGTCGCTGAAATTAAATTTTTGCCGACCAAATTTTTGGTCGCCAAAGATAAAAAGTAAATTTTTATTTTTCATTCAGCGACTAATTATTTTAGTTGCCAAAACTATCTATACAGCGACTAAAATATTTTTTAGTCACTGAAATTAAATTTTTGCTGATCAAACTTTTGGTCACCAAAAATAAAGAGTAAATTTTTATTTTTCATTCAGCGACTAGATTATTTTAGTTGCCAAAACTATCTATACAGCGACTAACATATTTTTCAGTCGCTGAAATTAAATTTTTGCCGACCAAACTTTTGGTCGCCAAAGATAAAATGTAAATTTTTATTTTTCATTCAGTGACTAAATTATTTTAGTTGCCAAAACTATCTATACAGTGACTAAAATATTTTTTAGTCACTGAAATTAAATTTCTGCCAACCAAACTTTTGGTCACCAAAGATAAAAAGTAAATTTTTATTTTTGATTCGGTGACTAAATAATTTTAATTGCCAAAACTATCTGTAGAGTGGCTAAAATATTTTTTAGTCGCTAAAAATAAATATTTTGCGACCAAACTTTTGGTTGCAAAAAATAAAAAGTTAGATTTTATTTTTCATTCGGTGACTAAATAATTTTAGTAGCCAAAACTAACTATACAGCGACTAAAATATTTTTTTAGTTGCCAATTGTGAGATTTTTAGCGACTAAATTTTTTTTAGTCACCAATAATCAATATACCCCGACTAAAAAAAATTAATAGCTAAATATTGTATTTTTACCGACTAACATAATTTTTGGTCGCCAATTCTATAACTTTTGGCAACCAGAATATTTTTAGTCTGCAAAAGTCGTCGCCAAAAGTGTATTTTCTTGTAGTGGATTACTACTCAAGCCTAAATATTTGGTTTGACCTTGTTAATTTAGCAAATGAGCCTAGCTTAAACTAATTAATTAATCTTTTATGTTAATTTTGTCCTTTTAATTTTAATTTTTAATTTTAATTGTATCAACTTGACCTTTAAAATCTTTATATTATATCAATTTAATTGAATTGATAACTATGGATAGTAAATTTATCTTTACTGGGATTTAGCTTACTAATACGCTTTGCCTCAACCCTCCCTACTAGAAAAACCCAATGTCAGAGTTCTTCCCGACCTATATTGGTCAGGGGGATTTTTCGACAATCAAGTCAACCTTAAGATTGGATATAACTATATATACTAAATATTTAGTGTTTGATTGTGTATGTGTTTTTCATTGTGTCATTATCTATGGTGTTGCTTAATCCTTTTATAGGCAAATAGTAATCAACTTGTCACCATTGTGGGCCATTGGATACCCTCATTTTCATCGGATGGACAAGCCCTTGTCAGAGGTCATTTCGTATAGATCAATCGGATTATGCTAATCCCAGCCGATCAGTGTGATTGGCTCCTTTTGGTTTTCCTTTGTTGAACAGATTCTGTTCTCATACGTTGGGTTGTCCTCCTCTTCTAGGCCTGCTTGGGCCTAAATTACCTAGTGTTGAATTCTTATCCTCCACAATAACGCTCTTTTCAAAAATTGATCTGAAATCAAGAGACAAAAATAAATTGCAAATGTAAATGAGTGAAACTCAAACTATTCATAGCCAACTTGATTTGTTTGTAGCCTAAGCATTGGATTAGCTTTTTTTATTATTTTCGCATTAAGTGACGACGTGGGTTTGGATTGCAGGTGTCTGGTTATACAGTGGTTTATGATGGGTTAACTTTCATCACAATTCGAAATACTGGTCATCAGGTTCCACAATCTTAGCCACAGAGAGCATTGGCTTTATTTAAGAAGTTTGTACTAGGAAATTAG